AAACCCTTGAACGATTACAAATTTATTGGTTCACTATTCTGCAACTGGACTATGGTAGACATTTTTTCCTTCCACACATGGGTCTAGAGATAGCGTGTTTGCTTACCATAAATAATAATAATGCTGTGGGATGACATGCGGACAGTAATGAATTCGATTATTTTAACATTGCATTACCAACCAAGACTCGGAAATTAAACATTCTCTGCCTAACGGCCGTGTATAAGTAGGATGTAGCTTTAGTGCAATACCAAAGCTTTTATCATCACTGTCCTAATATGCTGTTATTATTAACAATTCCACCTAATCTGTTTTCCCCGATGCAGCAGCGTCGCTTAGCAAGATCTATTTTAAGTTTTTCACATTTCATTCTCCGTACGCAGACGCTATCATGAAGATAATAAATTTATTCATCTCTTGGTATACGCGCGCCACCTATCGGCCTCTCTGTTCGCAAATTTCATTCCTTAAAACCAGCCGCGTTTTACCTTAAGCCACCACTCGAAGAGATGTGAGAGTATAAAGCAGTTCATGTTTGCCTGCAAAACAACAAAGCAAAAGAAATCACTATACTAAATCACAATGTTATAAGTAGTAAAAGTAGGATAGAATTTTTGTATTTAAGATAATTGTACTGTTTACTAAATAAGAATATCTAAAACTTTAAATAAGGACACTGCTGCTTGGAGTCATATATTGAGAGAGTTTGTGCAATCATTGCTTTGACAACATTGACGTATAGTCTCTAAAATCGGCTCTATGGGCGCCATCTTACACTCTAGAGAGCTACATGGCTATTTGCAGACAGAGATACCCTTGCATTTTATTCGTACTTTTTTAAAGTTTAAGGCGTTACGTGATATGCTAGACCATAGAACTGGTTAAATACCGGCGAAAGCGAAAGAAGAAGGAGCCGACGAAGAAGAAATCGAAGGAAACCAAAGGAATCGATAGTAAATTACTCCGTTTTACGCAGAGAGAGAGAGAGCGAGCGAGAGCGAGCAAGAGAGCAAGAGAGAGAACGTGTGAGAGAGAAATAGAGAGAGAGAAGGAGAGAGAAAGAAGAGAGAGGGTTACAGACTGAACAAGCAGACACATACACGCGCGTGCACGCACACATGCCCACACACGCACGCACACACACACACACACACACACACACACACACACACACACACAACACAACCCACCACACACACACACACACACACACACGCAACACACAACATCCCCACACACACACACACACACACACACACACACACACACTAGTGTCGTGTTGTATTGTAACGTGGATTGTAGATAAATAAACCATCCGAGACTGCGCACTATAGCTAGTACCACGTGATCGTACCGGGAAAGGCGGCGCGATGTATCAATCGTCAGCACAATTCTGCGATAGAATTTAAGATAGAAACGTCAATTAAGAACACGTACCCACAGATTGTGGAAAGCGCCATCGGGGTGAGCTGGCTCGTACAGGTCGCAGTCGGTGCGCTAGCTTGGTTCTGGCACTGGCTTTCCTAGTCTGCTGCCCAGCTGTGCCATCAGCTGACGTGCATCGTCTGGAGTCTGACACGAAAATATGACCGTATATCAGAGTTCGCGCAGCAATTACCCCAATTTACAGGGAAAAGAATTCCTATCGTAAACAAAATTACTTAACCTGCGAAGCTAGCTAGACTTGGCGTAGCTAGCTGGCACAATTATTGTAGAAATGTCATCTATATATATAAAGTTGTTCAGCCAAATTAGTCCGTACTCGCATAACTAGAGAACTCCGCAGCCTAGAGGAAAACTAAAGATATTTTCAGAATCAGCAAAATTTAAAAAAGTTAAAATTCTATACATCAATAGATGGCGGTGCGTACAGATTAACATCACGTACGTGTGAATCCATGATTTATACGATTAACGGCGCAGTGGCCTAATCGCTTGAACGTCCGTCTCCTACATCGGGATTCCGGAATCGAGTCCCAGCGGGGAAACTTTTCTCTTTTTTTCCTTTTTCCCCTTTATCTACCTCTTTAATATGTATTATTTTTGATTTTTTATTAATTTTTATTTTATTAATTTATTTGTATTTTATTATTTTATTTATTAATTATTCTTGTTTTTAATGTCTTTTATCTTTTGATTTCTTATTATTTTTTACTATTTGGGATGGAATGGGATAGCATGGGATGGCACGCGATGGGATGGGATGAGATGGCATGGCATGGGATTGGATGGGATGGGATGGAATGGGATGGGATGCGGTGCGATGGGATGGCATGGGATGGGATGGGATGGCATGGCATGGCAGGGGATGGCATGGGATGGCATGCGATGCGATGAGATGGGAATGATGGGATGGGATGGGATGGGATATGGGATGGGATGGGATGGGATGCGGTGCGATGGGATGGGATGGCATGGCATGGCATGGCATGGCATGGCATGGCATGGGATGGGATGGGATGGGATATGGGATGGGATGGGATGGGATGCGGTGCGATGGGATAGGATGGCATGGCATGAAATGGGATGGATGGATCGATGCATGGATGGATGCATGGATAGATAGATAGTTAGATTTTTTGGTTATTTTCTTTCAACCAAGCGGTCACCAACGGAGTAACGCCACTGATTTCTCCGGGCAACGCCGGGTATTCCGCTAGTATATAATATATGTTACGCGCAATCTTTCGATCTGCGCAATCTACCGATCTGCCCGATTTTACAGGGTTTGCTGGCCGGTTTACCAGCGTGGGTTGGGGTGCTCGATAAGATTGCGTTACAGGATTTGTAAGCGTACATTTTTGGGCCTTTCTGATCATCTCTTCGCTGACTCTGAGTGAAATTGTAAAGTTGAGGTTAGGTTAACAGTTACTTGTAAGTACATTATTGAGATTCGTTTAGAACACTTAATTCTTCTAACAGTAAAAATGGAAAAGTTGCGTGAGCGTATCAATTACTTCGTTATTGATAAGCTGTAAGACTGTGCAGTGCAATCTTAAGGTTGCGCAGATCTGAAGATTGCGCGCAACATATATCATATATATATATATAATATATATTATATATATATATCAGGAGTAGATATAGCGAGGAGTGTGACATCAATAAACAAGGTGAATTGTCATTTTACTAGCCTTATAATACTACGATTTACTACACGTAACTCATCCAACTTAAGCTCAAATCGGACACAGTACATTCGCCAATCATCGTGCGAAATCGTTTCCTCGTAGACACCCGCAATCCGGATACTAGCCTAAAACGTAACACGATTCTCCATTCTCCTGCGCCCTCAATCCAACGCCATTGCGCGCC